GTTCTGGAAGAAGAGTTAGGTTAGCGTGTCCAAAATTCGATGAAGGGACCAAAATCAAATTCGAGGACGAGCCACAAAAAGCACGCCGCGAGCTTCGAAACCCCGCCCCGCCCGCCCCCCCAAAAAAAAAACCAAAACCCAAAAAACCCACCTTATCCTCCCCAACCGGATCCGGATCCACAGTCGGCATCGGTATCCCCGTCGCCATCCCCATGCCTCCCCCATTTCCGTTTGGGTCCAAAGACGAAGAAGAGGGGGAGGGCCCGGCGATGAGCCCGCCGCCGCGGGTGTCTCCTAAAAGGGGAGGGTTAGTGAAAAGATGGAAGAGGGGGGAGAGGGAGAGGGAGGAAGAAAAGAAAAGACGGAGAGTACGTAGGTTGGTAGCATAAGCCACCTCCTAGCACATGCGCTTCGACGAGGAACGAGAGACGTCAACAGAACGGAAGCCGCCCGCACACGGTCACCCAGACCGACGCTACCACCTCGCTCCACCACCTCCTTCAGCAATCGCCATCACAAAAGCATCGCATTCACAAAAGCAACGCATTCACAATCGCAATCGCGGAATTGCAGAGGCGAGCCAAAAAATACCGTCTCCCCACGCGCGCGACAGAGCATGCACAAAGTCTCCGCCCTCGGACGACCTCCCGCCTCCCGCAAAACGAGAACCGCGTGTAGCATATGCTGCCAGGGCAAGCTCGCTTGCTCCCGCTCCCCTCCGACCAACACCAAGAGGCAAAGCGACGCCTCTCAAGGAACGAAGCTGTGTCCGTGTCCAGACACGACGACGCCGCCCCTCCGCCCAACGTCCCGCTCGAAGGACCGAGACGCAAGCGCGAGCACAAGCGTGTCCGTGTCCGTGTCCGTGCCTTCCCTCCGCTCCCCACATCTCTCCCCAAAAATCTCCTCCCCATTATCGTATAACGAAGAAAATAAAAAAACGCACCCATCCCCCCCAACCCCGGCACCCGCGCCTTCCTCATGCGAATATCCTTGCGGATGCGGATCTTGATCCCTTGGTCCGCGAGGGAGCAGGTGAGGGGGGAGGATTCTGTGTGCGAAGGGGGTTAGCGACGTCGTTTGGGGTATTTTGAGAGAGACGAAAAAAAGAAAATTGAGCGAGACGAAAAAATTGAGGAAGGAAGGGAAAGGAGGGAAGGAAGGAAGGAGGGGATGGGGATGGGAGGAAGACACCAAAAACGCGATAATTAAAAAGAGGAAGTATATTTGAGGGTAAGAAGGTGAGAACGAGAAAGCGCGGAAGTAGGGGAGGAAAAGAGCGTCGAGGATGTCTGGGGAATGCGGGGAGAGAAAGAAGGACGGGTCTTCCTTCCCTTCCCTTCCCCACATGCCCCACGGAAGAGGCTGAGGCATAGCTCTTTTTCTTCGAAACAAAATTGGGAGGAGGATGACAATAATATTTGTTATCGTTCGGGAAAAAGGGGGATGCGGTAGGAGGAGGGCGGGAGGGAGGAGGTATTTTCGTGTGAGAAGAACGGGGTGGGGTAGGATGGGATAGCACTGCACAAGACATATGCTAGATAAGCGCTCTGGCTTTGGAGAAGCGCAGGGAAGGGACAGCTCGACAGCGCACGGAGGGATGTGGCACGGAAGGAAAATAATGGCAGAATAAGAGAATAAGAGAATAAGAGAAGACAAAAACAGACGCACCCTCCACCCCCGGGAACTTCTTCGCGGTGTACACATAAAGGGCGCGCTGTAGATGGACTTGCAGTGGCGGACGTCGTTCCTGGGTGGGGGGTGGGGGTTAGCGAGCCGTCGTGAGTGTTAGCGAGCCGTAGAGTAGGGGGTAGTGAGCCGTAGTGAGGAAAGCGAGGCGTCGAGGTGGATAAATTGGGAGAGGGAGTGGGGAGGAGTGAGGGAAAATAAGACGATGATGATGAAGCGCGAGGCAGGCGGCAGGCTGAGCATCAGGGTGAATTGGGAAGGAGTGTGAAGACGAGGGAGCCGCTCCCGGGGAGCGGTGTGGCTGAATGGGAGTAAGGGATGGAGAGCGTCGGGAGGAAGGGTATTGATGGCGCAGAGCCACACAATGGCAAGGCCAGCGCGCAGCCATACGTCCACCCAAAAAAAAAAGAAAGAGAAACACCAACTCACCCAACAACCTCGAACAAGCTCAACTTGAGTCTATAACTCCCCTCCGTCCTCACCGACAAATCCGGAAACACGAAAAAGCCCGCATCCCCCGCCGGGCTCGCCGTCGTCGGACCGCTATCCTTCCCCCCATTCTGTTGCCCACCCTGTCCCCCATTGGCATTCCCACCCGGAGGAGCAGGCGCGGCCGTAGGGTCCTTAAGCGCATACAAAGACGAGACGACGCTCCCGGTGGTGCACCGCGTCCTGCCATCCTTGAGCCAGTGCAGCTCGGTGTCGTCGTCGGGCTTGGCGAGGGACGCGAACATGAAGTAGTAGGGGTTCTGCAGGAAGGACTGGGCGTAGCCGGCGAGGTTGGTGTAGGGCGGCTCGTCGTCCGCGAGGGGCTTGTCGTCGTCTGCGCCGGGGGTGGTGTTGGTGTTGCCCGGGCCGGCGCCGGCGGTGGAGGATGAGGCGGAGGAGGAGGAGGGGTTGGAGGACGAGTTGTTTGAAGAGGAGGGAGGCGGGGCGGAGGCGGGGTCGATGACGCGCAGCTGGACGATCACGGGCGGGTCGATGGGGCGGCGGTCCGCTGTGTGTGTGTGTCGGGTCAGTCATAACGCGGTATTGGAAGAGACAGAAAGGAGGACAGACCCTTGCCGCCAATACCGCACATGCGCGCCTGCTTCGGCTCTTGGCGCACCGTCAGCTCGTATTGTCTGCGCATCCGAGTAAAGTCGAGTCAGCACAACCGAATAACAGACGAAGAGGTATCAAATGCGAATGGTCTGTAGTCTATACAGACAAAGCATGGAGCGGGACCTGCTCTCCCAACCCAAGCCCACGGACTCGGGTCATCACTACGGCCCCTCTGTCTTTCTCCCAACGCCCAAAAATCAACGAATAAAAGAAAGACTAACAAACGTGTCCGGTCATGCGGGTAGCTCGCGGGCATCGTATGCGGGGCCATCTGCGCCTCGCCGCCGCCGTCCATCAGGTCCATATTTGCTTCGAGCTTGGAAGAGGAGGGTGAGATAACAAGTCACAAGTGTGGTGTGGTATATAGGGTTAGGGTTTCGATTCGTGATCGATAAGCGAGGTGACGTGCCGCCCGGCACCAGGTACATGGACACGCAAAACCACGACCGCGGCTCTGGTTCGCGTACCCAACAAGCCCACAGGTGCGTCTGTGTGCACCCGTGCACAACGGAATATCGTGTCGTGTATCATACAACGCCTCTACCATGCTGTCCTGACCGTGACGTGCCAATGTTCCTAACCAAGCCCTGACCTGACTTCCGATTCACGTTTACGGCTGCTGCCAAATTCTAATGCTGTATATGTATATCCTGCTCTCTCAGGCGGCTAAATACTCTCTCTCTCAGGCTAAATAAGCTGCTGTACGCAATATTAATCTCCCTTGCGTGCTTCCCCGCGGCAAACTCTGTTTCTGTTCTCGTCTCTGCTTCTCTTTCTTTTCTCGTCCGTCTCATTCGCCTTGTCATTCACCTTCTTAGCTTGGCAATGTAAATAAGTTGCCCTCCCGCTCTCATCATCACGAGGATCCTCCTTCCATTCCATTCACGCACCCAAAGCACAAAGCACCCGCCCCTCGATCAAGGCTTCTATGGTATGTACCTACCAATTAAAGCCTCTCGCAGCCGGTAGCCTTCCCATCCTCGACCCGAATGCGCTATCAATCTCCTTAGGCTTAAGTCCGCCGCGGCCTGCCACCCCATCACTCTCACCTTCATTCATTCATCTCGGCCTTAGGCCTTATCCTTCCGAAACCCTCACACCCCTCTCGATAACATGTCTGCCAGATTCAGACAAACCCGCTCGCTCGTTCTCATATTCATATGATCTAGACGAAATGATCTAGACGTGTGCGGGTGCAAATGCATACATGACGGTGTACCTATAATACCAAGCCTTCCGACACGAGACTCGCACCCTCAACCCCCCGCAGTCTTCCCATCCCAAAAGTAGAGGACAGTCCGCGGACTAGGCCTGCACCACCGTCAAATCTTCCCATTCCCATTCCCACCTCCGCTATGCCAAGTATCACTACTATCAATACATAATTACATTCCCATGGCCATTCCCAGTATCAATGACCCTAAGCAGCTCGCCACGGCCACCATATGCGGGTGCAAATGCATACATGACGGTGTACCTATAATACCAAGCCTTCCGCCACGAGACTCGCACCCGAAACCCACCGCGGTCTTCCCATCCCAAAAGTAGAGGACAGTCCGCGGACTAGGCCGTCAAATCTTCCCATTGTGCCAAGTATCACTACTATCAATACATAATTACATTCCCATGGCCATTCCCAGTATCAATGAGCATTCCCAGTATTAATGAGCCTAAGCAGCTCGCCACGGCATGTTTTCAGATCCGCCTGCCTGCCAGACAACTTTGAAAGCTCATACAGTAAGTAAATCTGATCTCGACCCTGGATTCTGGACCTGCTTTTGGGCGCGTTCTTTCTGTTTTGGTGCAGGCTGTCCGTGTTGATATGTAACGAAAACGACAACGATAATGATAACGACAACGAAGCGATAATGATAACGAAAAACGACAACGGCGTCTAACGACATTTAATTATGCCGTGAGCCGTGAACCATGAGCAGCGCCTGCCATGCTCCCTTTCGTAATCGTAATACAAAGGGCCAGACCTGCGTAGGACGACGCTTAATGGATGCTGTCAAGCCTGTAACGACTTCTCGCCCCGCCGGATTAGTGTAATCGTATTAATTTGTTGACACCGCAACATATAAATCTCCATCTCTACTGTACTTCTCACCCCCACAGATCGCCTCGACGCGTGCGTGCTCTGAACAGAGTCGGCGTCGTTTGAAACTTATGGGAGAAAAAATAAAAAACAAACCGTTCTATACTTATGCGGACGCGGGGAATCGAACCCCGAAGCCTTCAACACTTTACTGGGAGCGGAACATGAGCATGAGATGAAGGAGTGCACCATGCACCACGTCCGCTTGCTATCCTCTGTTACTTGAGCTGCTAAGTACAGTAGGATTTTATTATGAGCTAAAAAAAAACAGCACACAGTGTGTATGCGGACGCGGGGAGTCGAACCCCAACAGCCTTCGACATTGATTTGGATAGCTCCATGAAATAAGGCAGTGTACCGTGCACCACGTCAGATTGTGAACAAAAAAAAAACAGAACGGAGTCCAATTCCTGCCGGCATAATCGAGGCGTGCTTTGAAAAGAGTTGAAATGAAAATAAAAAAGTAATGCATCTCTCAAGAAATATGCGGACACGGGGAGTCGAACCCCGAAGCCTTCAACACTTTTTCAGTCGGAATGCCCTTCTAATGAAATAAAGCAGTGCACCGTGCACCACATCCGCTTCCTACCCTCTGTTACTGAAGCTGCTAGGATTTTATTCTTACCGGTGCTGTTTGCTAACTAGTATGGTTTTATAATTTTTTTAGATTGCGAACAAAACAAAGGGCCCACGATTCCTATGGGGGATAATTGAGTCGGGCTTCGAAAAGAGTTGAAAGAAATATGAAAAAGAATTGACGCCTCGCAATCATATGCAGACGCGGGGAGTCGAACCCCGACAGCCCTCAACACCTTCAAGACCGTTTTATGAGATGAAGGAGTGCACCGTGCACCACGTCCGCTTCATACCCCCTGTCACTCAAGCTGTTAACTACAGTAGGATTTTATCGGTGTTGTGAGCTAACTAGTATGGTTTCATAATTTTATTGGATTGTGAGCAAAAGAAAAAAGAGCCACAATTCCTATGGGGGATAATCGAAGTGAGCGGTGCTTTTGAAAAGAGCTGGAAGAAAAAATGAGCACCTCACCATACATGCGGACGCGGGGAGTCGAACCCCGACAGCCTTCAATATTTTCTTGTTGGAACACCACCATGAAATAAAGCACTGCACCGTGCACCACGTCCGCTTCCTACCCTCTGTTACTGAAGTGGCTAACTAGTATGGTTATAATTATGATTTTATTGGATTGCAAACAAAAACAGAGCCCACAGCCAGGATCGGAGTCCAATTCCTACTGGGGGACATTGAGTCGTACTTCAAAAGACTTGCCAAAAAAATGAGAATGAAAAATGAAAATAAAAAAGGATACAATTCATTCACAGTCATTCACTGTCATGCGGACGCGGGGAGTCGAACCCCGAAGCCTTCAACAATTTACTGGGAGCGGAACACGAGCATGAGATGAAGGAGTGCACCGTGCACCACGTCTGCTTCCTCCTCCCGTTGCAATAGCTAGTAGGATTTTATTGGTGTTGTAGTATGGTTTCATAATCTCATAATTTTATTAGACTGTGAGCAAAAAAAAAAAAAGAGGAGTCGAACTCTTACTGGGGGAGATAATCAAGTTGTGCTTTGAAAACAGCTGAAAAAAAATCAAAAATGAACTACATACTCCACATAACATGCGGACGCGGGGAGTCGAACCCCGATAGCCTTCAACGCTCTTCTTGGGCAACATGAAAGAAAGGAGTGCACCGTGCACCACGTCCACTTCCTTCCTCTGTTACTGAAGTGGCTAACTACAGTAGGATTTTATTGGTGCTGTGTGCTAACTAGTGTGGTTTCATAAGTTTATTAGACTGTGAGCAAAAAAAAGAGCCCACAATTCCTATGGGGAATAATCGAAGTGAGTGGTGCTTTTGAAAAGAGCTGAAAAAAAGAAGAACACCTCGCTATAATATGCGGACGCGGGGAGTCGAACCCCGAAGCCTTCAACACTTTTTTGGGAAGATTGAATGAAATGAAGGAGTGCACCGTGCACCACGTCCGCTTCCTATCCTCTGTTACTGAGTACTGAAGTAGCAACTACAGTAGGATTTTATCGGTGTTGTGAGCTAACTAGTATGATTTTATAATTCTACTAGAATGTGAGCAAAAAAAAGACCCGAGTCCAACTCTTATTGGAGGATAATCGAGTTGTGTTTGAAAAGAGTTGAAAAAAAAAAGTACGCCTCGCTACAGTATGCGGACGCGGGGAGTCGAACCCCGACAGCCTTCAAGATTTCTTTAGATATGCTCATAAAATAAGGCAGTGCACCGCGCACCACGTCCGCTTTCTACCCTCTGTTACAGTAGCTGCTAACTACAGTAGGATTTTATCGGTGTTGTGACTCTTGTGAGCTAACTAGTATGGTTCCATAATTTTACTAGATTGTGAGCAAAAAAAAGAGCCCACAATTCCTACGGGGGATAATTGAGTTGTGCTTTGAGAGAGTTGAAAGAAAAATCAAAATGAATAACAACACCCATCAACATGCGGACGCGGGGAGTCGAACCCCGATAGCCTTCAACACCTTCAAGGCCGTTGTATGAGATGAAGGAGTGCACCGTGCACCAGGTCCGCTTCCTCCCTCTGTTACTTGGCCTCCTAAGTACAGTAGTATGATTTTATTTTATTAGGTTGTGAGCAAAAAATAACCCACTGATGTACAGTAATCGAGTCGTACTTCAAAAGACTTGCCAAAAAAATGAGAATGAAAAATGAAAATAAAAAAGGATACAATTCATTTACAGTCATTCACTGTCATGCGGACGCGGGGAGTCGAACCCCGACAGCCTTCAACACTTCCTATGGATTGTAACATGAAATGAAGGAGTGCACCGTGCACCACGCCCGCTTTCTATCCTTGGTTACTGAAGTGGCTAACTATAGTAGGATTTTATCGGTGTCGTGCGTTAACCAGTCTGGTTTTATAATTTTATTACGATAGATTGGGAGCAAAAAACAAATAGCCCAAGGCGGAGTCCACTGGGGGATAATTGAGTCGTGCTTTAAAAGAGTTGCAAGTTATGAAAGAAAAAGAAAAAATGAACATGTCTGCAAAATGCGGACGCGGGGAGTCGAACCCCAACAGCCTTCAACACTTTGTTGTGATTGGAACATGAAATAAAGCAGTGCACCGTGCACCACGTCCGCTTCCTATCCTCTGTCACTCAAGCTGCTAAGTACAGTAGGATTTTATTACGATATGTTGTGAGCGAAAAAAGAGCGGAGTCCAATTCCTACTCGAGATAATCGAGTTGTGTTTGAAAAGAGTTGAAAAAACACTAGCAACATCGATCAACATGCGAGTCGAACCCCGATAGCCTTCAACACTTTTTATGGATTGTAACATGAAATGAAGGAGTGCACCATGCACTACGTCCGCTTCCTAGCCTCTGTTACTCACTTGAGTAACTACAGTAGGATTTTATTATGAGCTAAAAAAAAACAACACCCAGTGTGTATGCGGACGAGGGGAGTCGAACCCCGACAGCCTTTCAACTCTTGTTCCTGGCAGCATGAAAGAAAGGAGTGCACCATGCACTACGTCCGCTTCCCACCTCATTTAATCCAGCCGTTAAATATGATTTTACCAGTGTTGTGTGCTAACTAGTATGATTCAATTTTATTAGATTGCGAACTAAAAAAAAAGAGCTGGGCCCAATCCCTACGAGGATAATCGAGTCGTGCTTTAAAACTTATGAAGGAAAATGAAAAATGAAAAATGAAAAATAACGACACGTCTTCAAAATGCGGACGAGGGAGTCGAACCCCGATAGCCTTCAACACTTCTGTTGGATCATGACATGAAATGAAGGAGTGCACCATGCACCACGTCCGCTTCCTTCCTCTGTTACTGAAGTGGCTAACTACTGTGGTATGGTTTTGTAATTTTATTGGATTGGATTGTGAGCTAAATTAAAAAAGTAAAAAAAAAAATCCCAAAGCATATGCGGACGTGGGGAGTCGAACCCCGACAGCCTCTTGAACTTCGAGAGGATCATATGAAATGAAGAAGTGCACCGTGCACCACGTCCGCTTCCCACCTCATTTAATCCAGCTGCTAAATATGATTTTATCAGTGTTGTGAGCTAACTAGTATGGTTTTATGATTTTATTACGATAGATTGTGAATAAGAAAAAAAGCCCACGGATCGGAGTTCAATTCCTACTGGAGGGAACTGAGTTGTGCTTTGAAAAGAGTTGAAAGAAAAAGAAAGCACAAACACTGAATATGCGGACGCGGGGAGTCGAACCCCGAAGCCTTCAACACTTTACTGGGAACAGAACATGAGCATGAGATGAAGGAGTGCACCGTGCACCACATCCGCTCCCTACCCTCTGTTACTGAAGTGGCTAACTAGTATGGTCATAATTATGATTTTATTGGATTGCAAACAAAAACAGAGCCCACAGCCAGGATCGGAGTCCAATTCCTACTGGGGGACATTCAGAGTCGTACTTCAAAAGACTTGCAAAAAAAATGAGAATGAAAAATGAAAATAAAAAAGGATACAATTCATTTACAGTCATTCACCGTCATGCGGACGCGGGGAGTCGAACCCCGAAGCCTTCAAGACTTCTTTAGATATGCTCATAAAATAAGGCAGTGCACCGTGCACCACGTCCGCTTCCTCCCTCCGTTACTGAAGTAGCTAACTACAATAGGATTTTATTGGTGTTGTGAGCTAACTAGTGTAGTCTCATAATTTTATTGCAGTAGATTGGGAGCAAAAAAAAAAAAGCCGAGTCCAACTCTTATTGGGGGATAATTGAGTCGTACTTTGAAAACAGCTGAAACTTATGGGAGAAAAAAGAAAAAGAAAAACACAACTTCTGTATGCGGACGCGGGGAATCGAACCCCGACTAGACTCGTAACCAGTCTGCCTACGCCGTTCTAACAAGGCGGGCTTGTTGCCGTAGGCAGACTGGTACTTCTCGGATATGTCAATTGGTCTGTCGCGGAGTTTGAAATTAAGTTGTTCATTGAGTGAGACTGATGACGCAATGAGCCGCGGCAATTCCGGAGATCACGGTCCGAAGTCGATTTCCACTAAAACTATCCTCAGGTTTTACAGTGTTCTGTACCATAAAGAGGAAATATAAGGAGGCCAAATCAAAGGGATAATTCTTTTATTTATTACCCCAGCTTGAACCGAAAAATAAACTTAAAAACTGAGTGTAAACGGAATAAGATTGTGAAAAAGTCACTTAAATTTCAAACTCCGCCCCAGCCCAATTGGGATATCCGAGAAGTACCAGTCTGCCTACGGCAACAAGCCCGCCTTGTTAGAACAGCGTAGGCAGACTGGTTACGAGTCTAAACCCCGACAACCTTTCAAATCTTGTTCCTGGCAGCATGAAATAAGGCAGTGCACCGTGCACCACGTCCGCTTCCTACCCTCTGTTACTGAAGTGGCTAACTAGTATGATTTTATGATTTTATTGCAGTAGATTGGGAGCAAAAAAAAGAGCCCACGGCGGAGTCCAACTCTTACGGGGGATAATTCGAAAGAGTTGAAAGAAAAATCAAAAAAAACCACCAAGATACAACATGCGGACGTGGGGAGTCGAACCCCGATAGCCTTCAACATTCTCTGTGGACCTCGACATGAGATAAAGCCGTGCACCGTGCACCACGTCCGCTTCCTATCTTCTGTTACTTGAGCTGCCAACTACAGTAGGATTTTATCGGTGTTGTGAGCTAACTAGTGTAGTTTCATAATTTTATTGGATTGTGAGCAAAAAAAAAAAAGAGCCCACAATTCCTACGGGGGATAATTAAGTCTTGCTTTGAAAACAGTTGAAAAGAAAATGCAAAATGAAAATGAAAACACCGCCAGCCATAATCCATATGCGGACGTGGGGAGTCGAACCCCGACCGCCTTCAACATTTTTTTTGAGATCGTGAAAATGAGCATGAAATAAAGCAGTGCACCGTGCACCAGGTCCGCTTCCTCCTCCCGTTGCAATAGCTACTAACTACAGTAGGATTTTATTGCAGTAGATTGTGAGTAGAAAAAAAAAAGAGTCCTACGGGGGTAATTGAGTCGTGCTTGGAAGAAAAATGAAAACACAACTTCTGTATGCGGACGCGGGGAGTCGAACCCCGACAGCCTTCAACACCTTCAGGACCATTACATGAAATTGGGCTGTGCACCGTGCACCACGTCCGCTTCTTACCCTAGTTGCTAACCACACTGGTGTGGTTTTATAAGTTTATTAGATTGTGAGCGATTGGGAGCAAAGCGGGAGAGCCCGTGTCTCACATCAGAGTTCAACTCCGACCGACTGGATATAATCGGGGGATAATGGATAAATGAGAGAAAAAATCAAAAAGAATACTCTCAATCACACAGCATGCAGACGCGGGGAGTTGAATCCCGACAGCCTTCAGCATTCTCCGTGGGATCTCGATATGAAAGAAAGGAGTGCACCGTGCACCAGATCCGCTTCCTACCCTCTGTTACTGAGTACTCAAGCTGCCAACTACTGTAGTGGTTTTGTAGAGTGTGAGCGATTGCGAACAAAAAAAAAGAGCTGAGTACTGGATGTAATAGGGTCGTGCTTTGAAAAAAGCTGAAAGAAAAAAGAAAAAAACATTAGCAACATCGATCAACATGCAGACGCGGGGAGTCGAACCCCGACAGCCTTCAACACTTCTCTGTGATCCCAATATGAAATGAAGGAGCGCACCATGCACCACGTCTGCTTCCTAGCCCCTGTTACTGAGTACTCAAGCTGCTGACTACTTAGTATGGATTTTTATTTTATTTTATTGCAGTAGAGTAAGCAACAAAAAAAAAAGCCAAGTCCAACTCCCACTGGAGGGAACTGAGTTGTGCTTTGAAAAGAGTTGAAAAAAAAAACGCTGCCATGAGCATGCGAACACGGGGAGTCGAACCCCGACAGCCTTTAACATTTCTTTGTAAATGTACTCGCCTCATGAAATAAAGCAGTGCACCGTGCACCATGTCCGCTTCCTACCCTCTATTACTGAAGTGGCTAACTAGTATGATTTTATGATTTTATTGCAGTAGATTGTGAGCAAAAAAAAGAGCCCACAGCGGAGTCCAACTCTTACGAGGGATAATTCGAAAGAGTTGAAAGAAAAATGGAATTGTCGCCTGCATGCGGATGAGGGGAGTCGAACCCCAACAGCCTTCAACATTTCTTCGGGATAGCCTTATGCATTGAAGGAGTGCACCGTACACCACGTCCGCTTCCTATCCTCTGTTACTCAAGCTGCTAACTACAGTAGGATTTTATTACGAAGAGCCCACAATTCCTATGCCGGATAATTGAATTGCGCTTTAAAACTTATGAAGGAAAATGAAAAATAAAAAATGAACATATCTACAACATGTGGACGCAGGGAGTCGAACCCCGACAGCCTCTTTAAGTTTGGGACAATTATATGAAATAAAGCAGTGCACCGTTGATAAGCCGGAAAATGGAACACTAGTGAAATAGGCACAATTTTGCGATTTTACTATGTTCTACGCGCATCTGAGGGATAACGTGAGTCCCGAATGGTTATCCATAGGCTTAACCCACGAAGGACCATAGCGAGTCCGTCCGAAAGGATGACTGACCAGAAACACGAATACTGGTTTAGCGCCTTAAACCAACGGATGTATTATACACTAGTCGATCTTTGGGATTTAGACTACAGTGGGGCCTACAAGTCAGGGAATTAGAATAACATCCACTCTGAGGGCTCGTACCAAAAAGGCGGCTATGTTAAACCATGGGTTTAACCAATTGTTGTGGTGACTTTGCGTAGTTGACGCGGCGCGACGGGTCATGTGATGAGGTCGGCTCGGGACGGATTAACCGGCAACGGTTAATCCGGTCACTTACTAAAACCAATCAATGTTACCAACCCAAAACGGGGTTCCTAATTAAGATCAGTAGAGTATGTGATATAACTCAGCAACCACTTGGCGGATTAGGACGGTTGGAGGCTCTATCAAAAGCTAGAGTCCTACGCTCTCTGAATCTGAAGGTCCTGTTCGGGGGACACCAAAGACGCGTTTTAACCAATAATCCAAAGTTAACATGTGGTGGATTAAAGGTTGGCGTGCAACGATCGGAAACGTAGGGGTAGATCAGTAGATCCTATACATAACGCGGACACGTGCATACCTGATTAAGCTACCAGAACTAACACATGTATACCCGGTAGTGTAATCACCATAGTGTAAGAGTTTTAGTGTACAGTATATAAGGAGGATGGGTTTGAGTGGTACAGTACTGAATCGGGAGTCCCTGCTGGAGCCAGTGCCTAAACGGTATCTGCCTCGTCTCAGGTCGTCCAAGTTCGGGGCTTGCTTCTTAAACCAATATTCTAAGAGTTTGTGTTTTAAAGTCTCAAGTTTATAAATTGATATTGTTGCCTTTGGATTAACGTCCACTGTTGGAATTGAGTTTGGGATCGTCGGAATATTGGTCTTGTCAGAGTTATTGGGAATTGGGATCGTCAGACTATTGGCTACCAGAACCAGTGTTGTTCTGTGTGCAAAGCTGAGAAGCTTGTATCTAAAAACCACTTGTAGAAAAGAGCATTCTTACCCAAGAATCTTAATTCTGCTAGTTTGCGCACTTTGGGGAAAAGCTCGGTTTAGAGTAATCCACAAAGCAACCAGCAACAGAAAACTTAAACAGTGTTCCTTGGACCTTTCTAAAGTGTCCTAAAGACTTGTAACTCGTCGGACATCATCTAGACGTTCAACAAGGAGGAAAGGAGACATATTCAGTTGATAGTTGTGGGCTAATACATTATTCTACGGAATAAGTGTAGTACTGCATTCTGTCCGTTGGGTTCGAGCTTACTAGTATACCTGTCGTAGATACCGAGCAACCCTTTCACCGTGCACCACGTCTGCTTCCTACCCTCTGTTACTGAGTGCTCAAGCTGCTAACTACAGTAGAATAGTTTTATAAGTTCATTAGATTGTGAGCAGAAGAAAAAAAGCGCCCACTGGCACGGATCGAAGTCCAACTCCTTGTACTCGAGGGATACTTGAGTCCTGCTTGGAAAAGAGTTGAAAGAAAAATCAAAATGAATCACAACACCCATCAACATGCGGACGCGGGGAGTCGAACCCCGACAGCCTTCAACTTGTGTGTGTAGCGACATGAAAGAAAGCAGTGCACCATGCACCATGTCCGCTTCCTATCACCCGTTACTTGAGCTCCTAAGTACAGTAGTATGGTTTTATGACTTTATTGCAGTAGATTGTGAGCTAAAAAAAAAGCCGAGTCCAACTCCTACTCGAGATGATCGAGTCGTGCTTCGAAAACAGTTGAAACTTATGGGAGAAAAAAGAAAAAAAAACCATTGCCATGAATATACGGACGAGGGGAGTCGAACCCCAGCAGCCTTCAACACTTCCTTGTGGCATCCCCATGAAATAAAGCAGTGCACCGTGCACCACGTCCGCTTCCTCCCTCTGTTACTTGAGCTGCTAACTACTGTAGTATGGTTTTATAATTTTATTAGATCAGATTGGGAGCAAAGCAGGAGAGCCTGTGTCTCGCATCGGAGTTCAACTCCGACCGACTGGATATAATTGGGGGATAATTGGGATAAATGAGTTGTGGTCGTGCTTCAAAACTTATGACGGAAAAAGAAAAACACAAACATGGATTCAGCATGCAGACGAGGGGAGTCGAACCCCGACAGCCTTCAACACTTTGGGGATAGCCACACGAAATAAAGCAGTGCACCATACACCACGTCCGCTTCCTTCCTCTGTTACTCAAGCTACGAACTAGGATTTTATCGGTGTTGTGTGCTAACTAGTATGATTTTTATTGTGGTAGATTGTGAGCAAAAAATGGCCCACAGCGGAGTCCAATTCTTACTGGACGTAATTGGGAGCGTAATCGAGTCGTGCTTCGAAAACAGTTGGAGTCGTGCTTTGAAAGAGTTCAAATAAAAATGAAAATAAAAGACGCTGCCATGAGCATGCAGACGCAGGGAGTCGAACCCCGACAGCCTTCAACATTTTTGGATCAGCCTCCTACGAGTAATGAAATAAGGAAGTGCACCGTGCACTACATCCGCTTCCTACCCTCTGTTACTCGAGCTGCTAACTACAGTAGTATGTTTAATTTTATTAGACTGTGAGCAGAAAAAAGAGCCCACACCACAATTCCTTCGGGGGATAATTGAGTGCTTCGAAAACAGCTGAAATAAAAATGAAATAAAAATGAAAAATGAGAAATGAAAAATGAGAAATGAAAAAGAACACTTCCATCAACCTGCGGACATGGGGAATCGAACCCCGACCAGCTGCTTTAACATTTTTCTGGAATAGTGACATGAAACATGAAATAAAGCAGTGCACCATGCACCACGTCTGCTTCCTACCCCCTGTTACTTAAGCTGCTAACTAACCAGTACGATTTTATAATTTTATTAGGTTGTGAGCAAAAAATAGCCCACGGCGGAGTCCAATGGGGGTAATTGAGCCGTGCTTCGAAAACAGCTGAAAAAAATGAAAAATTCCAACGATCAACACCCGGACAAGGGGAGTCGAACCCCGACAGCCTTCGACACTGGTCTTCAGCAACATGAGATAAAGCAGTGCGCCGTGCACCACGTCCGCTTCCTACCCTCCGTTACTGAGTACTCAAGCTGCTAACTAGGATTTTATTCTTACCGGTGTTGTTTGCTAACTGCTATGGTTTCATAACTTTATTACGATAGATTGTGAGCAAAAAACAGAACAGAGTCCAACTCTTACTGGGGGAGATAATCGAGTCATGCTTCGAAAAGAGGTGAAATCTTAGGAAAGAAAAATGAAGATAATCCAGCTACATGCGGACGCGGGGAATCGAACAACACTTTTTTTGGATAGCTACATGAAATAAAGCAGTGCACCATGCACTGCGTCCGATTCCTATCCTCTGTTACTCAAGCTGCTAATTAGCATTTCATCGCTGTTCGGAAGTGAAAACTTGAAGGGACAGATGCATGTATCCCTTCAGCTGCTTTTCTTTCCTTGCTGAGGGATTGGTGGGTGCTATCACTCGGAGTTCTTACTGTATACTAGTACCAGCATAGATTCATGATCAGTCAGGTACTTTGAACTTTTTTGCTGTGTGCAATTGAAAAACCGCAAAAGAAACAATTTGTGGGGCATCCCGGACAGCGAAAATTCCCACGGTTGTAATACCACAGACATCCCGATCCCCGAGAGCTGATTGGTAAGTAAGCGCTCAGCTTGGTCATGCCAAATATTCCTTGGTTAGTAATCTTGGTAATGCCAAATACGACTACCTTGGTCTACTACCGTTTAAAAGCATACATGCCAGCACCAAGGGAACATCAAGCATCTTGCATAATTCTGGACCATGGGCCGCTCTCTAAACCTCACAGCTTGTCTCATTTTCGCCACTGCTTTATCAACGACATTAGCTGCAACCGCGGCGGGCAGCTTCGATTTGAAGCCCTTCAAGATCGACCTCGCCGGTGAAATTCCTCGCCTAAAGTCCCTTGTGAAGAACACCCGTCTTCCGGCCAAAGCTCTGTATCCGGATGCCAGTCCCGAAAAAGGAATCGGATTGGACGTCCTCCAGGAACTCCGAACTGATTGGTTGACAAAGTTTGACTGGGAAGCACAGCAAGCAGAATTGAACCAGTCAGTGTCGTTGACATTTTCTTGAAATACATCGCATCTCATACACTTGATGCACAGAGTC